AGCCTTCTGATTCTCTCTGTCAAAAGAAAGGACCCTTTCCTATGAACTTATAAATGATTTATTTATATATCTCTTATAACATTTACAATTTCTTTTTTGGGTTTTGTCCACTTATTGAAATATTTTGTTTTCTTTATTAGATTGTAGGTGAGTTTCTGGAGGTCAGAGACCCTGTCTTAAACATTCTTGTACTCCCCACACTGGCTAATAGTGTGTATGAGTTCTGAGAATGTTGAATGTTGAGTGACTGAGTTTATAATAATCTGTGTATTTGGAGGTTGGGAGGTACATTCATTCTGGAGTTGATGTTTTTACGTGGTTTACAGTTACTTGATGTATAGTTGCTATCACTTCCAGGAATGCCCCTTCCACCTCCACCCCCTGCAGCAAACTCACCCAGCATTGAAACATGAGTGATACATCTTTTTTTGTTGTTGTTGCTAATCCTTACCAGAGGATATATATATGCATATTTATTTATTTTTCCATTGATTTTTCAGAGAATGAAAGGGAGATGGAGGGAGGGAGGGACAAAGAGAGAGAGAAACATCGATGTGAGAGAGAGACATCGATTGGTTGCCTCCCGCACACGCCCCAACAGGAGTCAGGTATCGAGCCTGCAACCAAGGTATGTGCCCTTTACTGGAATCAAACCTGACACCCTTCAGTCCTCAGGCTGACACTCTAACCACCGAGCCAAACTGGCTAGGGCAAGAGTGATACATTTTGATTCACAATATGAATATATCTCACTAGGCCTGGCACCTTAAGTATGTAGGTAGTGGAGGAGAAACATTGTTTAAAATGTATGGAGCCAGAAACTATGCTGTGGAAAATTCTTCTACTCATTAGATGGTAAATTTGTAAGCAGAGGATTTGATTGTCATTGAGCCTTGTCAAAAAGGAAAATCTATTTTAGTAGGAATATACTCAATATGCAGTGCATACAATTATGAATGTATCATATTTTTTAAAAATTCTGATGGGAATCATGCAAAATAGGATTTATCAGAATTATTCTGTTTGTAGAATACAAACTTACAGCAATTACAATTATTATAAACTAGAGGCCTGGTGCACAAAATTCATGCACTGGGCGGGGGGAGGTCCCTCAGCCTGGCCTGTGCCCTCTCGCAGTCCAGAACCCCTTGGTGGATGTCTGCCTGCGGGCCTAAGCCCCCTCACAGTCTGGGACCCCTCACTCCTTACCGCCCGCCTGCTTGCTGTTCCTTACCATTCGCTCGCTGCTCCTTAGTCCTGCCACGGAGGTAGGAGAGGCTCCCGCCACCGCTGCTGTGCTCGCCAGCCATGAGCCTGGCATCTGGCTGAGCAGCGCTCCCCCTGTGTTGACCGTCTATTGCCTGGTGGTCAGTGCACATCATAGCGACCGGTCTTTCTGGTCGTTCCGCCATAACGGTCGCTTAGGCTTTTATAATACAGATATTAACTTTTTGAGTAGACCTTTATTTTTTAGAGCAGATTTAGGGTGACAGAAAAATAAAGTGGAAAGTACAGAGGTTTCTCATATCCTTTCTGCCCCCGCATCAACATCCCTCACCAGAGTGGTACAAGTGTTACAACTGATGAACCCACATTACACATCATTACCACCCAAAGTCCATAGTAAATATTAACTTCTGTACCTAATTTTATAATTTTGTATTTTTCTTAATTAGAGATCCTCAATTTTATAAGTTTCAGGACCCAGAAATATTTGCTTTTTAACAAGATGATTTATGTTTTTCCTGAAGTTCTAATCTCTACTGAGATTTTTGTCTTCTTCTTACTCAAATATCTATGCCTTTGAAATTGCCCAGAGTGAACTCTTTTGTTGACTTATGGCGCTCTTCCAGGTTATAATTCAATCTGGGTGGGAAATTTCACTAAGTGCTATTTTATGGCTTACTTTGCAATGCCAATCATTACTTTTTCACCATGCAATTTAGCTGTATTGGTGATGCATAAAGTTAATTCATAAAGAAATGACCTGAGTTTGTTGATACTTCATCGACAACTTGCTGTAGTACAATAAATTTTCAGCTTTGTAATCGCAAAAGTATTGACAAGTCCAACATACTAATGAAAACTGAGGAGCCAAAATACAAACCTGCTCCCAATACTGAAGGAAAAACATAGACCTCAACTCCTCTTTTAAAGTTGTTTTCATGGTTTTAGAGTTGAGCATAAACAAGTTCTAATGTCTTTCTAACTCACACCTCCCTTCACATTCTCTCCAAGTCTGAGATTGGGATTTCATTGGGTCCTAAGGGCCTTAGGGGGATAGGGAATGAAAGAATTGCAATTGTTTAGTACCTTTTACCGAGTCAAAGTTTCCACATGTAGGCTACAATTTGAAATTTCAACTGAAAAAGTGTTGTGGAAGCTTTTTGTCAATCATAAGTGTTGTAGAAATGTTACTTTGTTGATGTTACTGTTGTCATTATGATGGAGGTTACTTTTCATTTTTATTAGAGACAAATAAAAGAAATTGGTTAACCTGAAGAAATTTAGCTCTTTTTTAAAAAATGTGTTTTTATTGATTTTATAGAGACAGGAAAGGAGAGGGATAGAGAGATAGAAACATCAATGACATTGAACGGCTACCTCCTGCACACCCCCTACTGGGGACCAAGCCTGCAACCGGGAGGTGTGTGCCCTGACCGGGAATCAAACCGGTAACCTCTTGGTTCATGGGTCGATGCTCAACCACTGAGCAACACCATCTGGGCAGATTTAGCTTTTAATGGGAAAAAATCCTGACTCTGAAACAAAATAATAAGGGTGATTTGCTAGGCTTTGGCAGTGAAGGTTATTGTAAGGTTGGGGGGAAAGAGGACTGGAAACACTGTATGTATCTACTTAGTAATTCCAGTCTTTTTGAGGCTAATTCCATTAAGTAGAAAATTAAATAATGTTGATTATGGCTACATAAATGTATTTTGGTATGTATAAATGTAAGTCAACACCAGTAGTACAGGATGACTTGCAACGAAGAAAAGAGTCACTCTAAAGAAAAAGCAAATTATTAAAAGGAACCTAAAAATAGTTAGGCTTTCTACACTTGAGAGGAAATATCTGCCTAGCAATTAAATATTCATTTATAGACACGCATAGAGACAACACAAAAATGCCTTTTAACATGTACCATTAGAACGAGAAGAAAATGTGGTTGTAGCTCTGGTTCTACCATACTCATTTCCTTTTAAATATTTCATTAAAATGATCTCTTGAAAGGAACTATTGTGTTGGCTTAAAAGCATCACAGTGAATCAGAAATTGTGACTAATTAAAGGTATAATTCAGATTTGCTTTGGAGAATATTTGGATGATTTGAGTTTATCTATGTTCAATAAAGTTAAGTTTTAGGGTGAAATGTGTTTATACTTTTGGAAATAGAATACATTTTCAAATCTTTAATCTGCTTTGGTAAAAAAAAATCATATTTTAGACTGGTCTGGATGTTAGTAAATAAATGCGATTTGTTCAAAATGTTGTTTCATGGTTCAGTTCTGTTCAAGCCACTCTTAGACACGACCCCAAAGCTGCAGTGAAAAGATTACTACTGCAGAAAAAAAGTCAGAAGTGAAGTATTTATCATCAATAATTTATGTTGCCACGAGATTATAAAACTGATGTGTTATCTTTACACAAATGCTGAGTAAAACATGTAATCAGAGCAATAAAAAATAACCAGCTCAGCATTATTAATAGCTGGGAAGACTTAATAACAAATTCAACATAACCAAAAGAAACGAGGATCCTACCCATATCCGCTGAGCCAGCTTTTGTTTCTGAAAGCCAGGCCAATAGTTCTGAGCATCTTAGCTCTGGGTGATCGCAATACTGCTCTGACTTCATAGTCCAGTCCTCTTCCTCTCATGTCTATGTTTTATTTTCCCCCCTCTAATATAGTCTTTGATAACTTTATACAGAACAAAGTGAGGAGGGAAACACAGAGAAAATGATTTTCTGAAATTTCCTTTCAAAATGGGACATTTCAAAGGGAAGACAGAATCCATGTGAACATAGTCTATGGCAAAGGAAAGCATTACTGATAATGATACTACTAGTTTTGAGGACATGATATAAAAGATGACATAGGGCTAGATTTCTCTTCCAACAACGGCAAGTATATGGAAAGGAACTTAGTAAATAGAATATAAAGTCTTAAAGTGGCTTTTTAAAAATACAGTGTACTATGTAATAGGACATAGAGCAATCACGGTCTTCGCCTACTGCCTGGGTCGGAGAAAGCGCGGTTGGCTTGGCGGCGGGGACGGGGAGGTCACCCTCTCTTCCGGCTCGGGGAATGTCCAGCTGTGAAATGGGCGCATGGAAGACCTCAGTCTTTTAATAAAAGGAATACGTGGCAAACAAAACCTTGTCCGCCCTGTTCTGAGTGACCCTTGTTTCCAAAATGTGGGGGCTGGAGGAGCGGATCCGGAACCTAAAGAAAATGATTACCCGCCATGGAAATTAAAAAGCGAGAAGGCAGAACTGGGTGAGGTAGGGGTAGGAGAGAGGGAGAGACAAGGACGTCCTGCGCCCCCAATCCCACCCCGTGAACAGCCCGCACCCAGTGCTCGGCGCGGAAGCCGTCGTTGGGGCTCCACTCACCGCCCCCTGGGCCGGGAGTGGGTCCTGGGACAGGAGGCAAAGAAGAAGGGTGGAGGGACTCCAGGACCAGGAGCCGGGTCCTGGGGGCGGGCCTACGGGAGCTCGGGGGGCGGAGCTGTAGCTCCGGGGGCGGGGCCAGGGGCGGGGCCTCGCAGAATTTCACGGCTGCAGCGCGCCACGTCTCCCTTAGCGAGCGCCTGAAGCAGAGGCAGG